CAAGGTTGTCAAACGCACGATAGTCAAAAAATGCCGTGGATGTGCCAAAAAAATGCAGCCTGGAGAGCAGGCCGCTAATTGGCCTGGATGTGTGCCTTGCAAAAGGGCACTCGACAACATCTGCAAGCAGGCATCCCGGCAGGGCGAGAAGGCGCAGAAGTATGTGGCTGAAGCGCGGGCCGATGATTCAAAGCTCCAGGCCATGCTTGCGTCCTACAAGGACCTGTGCCCAGAGACGACCGAGGAAGGCTGCAGCCAGGTTGGCCGCAAGTGCGGCACGTGGTCGCTAGTGAAGTACGTCGAAACGGTGACGGCGGCGTCAGGACTCATCAAGGATATTGTGGGGGAGATGATGTTCGAGAAAATGTTCATGGAGTTCGCGCAGACGACGAGAGGCGGCCGCGTGCGAGAAGAAGAGGCAGCCGCGAAGTGGCTCGAATACATGGACGAGATCAAAAAGGGCAATCCCGATGTCCTTTATGACCATGGTGGTCCCTCAGCCAAGATTCGCGTATGGGTGAAGACAGGCGACGTCCTCACTTGGCGCAGCTCTTACATGAAGGAGAAAAATGTGGAAATGGAAGGCGATTCCGTTCGCAAAGGAACTTTCGATGATGTGGATCGCCTGCGTGGAGAGCTGACGCGGAACCACGCCAAGGACATGGGCTTTGGTGAAGTAGCTGCAGCTTTGTGTCGCAACGAGAACGCGTTCGCCGGCAACGACGGGTTCATTTTGAACGTCTTGGACTTGCAGCAGGATGTGGAATGCGACGAAGACGATGCTGACAATGAGGCCCAGAGTTCAAAGAAGCCCGAAGAGGCGAAGGAGGAGGTGTGGGTTGAGCGTGACCGTGTAGTTTCCTCCAGCGTCCGCTTCTTCACAGCCCAGATGAAGACCTTTGAGGACAAGGCGCTTGAGCAGCTCAAGAAGCAGCGGCAGGCGAAAGCAGAGCTTCTGACAGAGTTGCCGGATTCCGCCAAGGTGGACTTCACGGGGGAGATGAAGATCCTCGAGGTCCGCCTGGAGGCTATCGAGCTTTGCTTTGAGGAGAAGAACGCAGACAAGATCAAGCAGTTCATAGCCCGCTTTAGCACGCCTTCTGATGCTGATGCTTCAATGGCTTCCAGTCCCCTACAGCTTGGTCAGTGCCCGCCTTGTGAGTCATATGCCAAGTTGCGCCCTGTCAGCGACGCCGTTGAGGTCATCCAGAAGTTCCACACTGCAACGCTCCCAAAGCACATCAAGGCGCATCGTGTTGGCGTGAATTGAAATAGTCCCAACTTCCTACATGGAATGCCCAGGGCCCTAAACCCTAAACCC